GTATTGTAGCTCCTTATGTTAGTATTGTAGTTCCTTGTGTTGGTATTGTTGTTCCTTATGTTGGTATTGTAGTTCCTTATGTTAGTATTGTTGTTCCTTATGTTGGTATTGTAGTTCCTTGTGTTGGTATTGTAGTTCCTTATGTTAGAATTGTTGTTCCTTATGTTGGTATTGTAGCTCCTTATGTTAGTATTGTAGTTCCTTATGTTAGTATTGTATCTCCTTATGTTGGTAATGTAGTTCCTTATGTTAGTATTGCAGTTCCTTATGTTAGTATTGTTGTTACTTATGTTGGTATTGTAGTTCCTTATGTTGGTATTGTTGTTCCTTATGCTAGTATTGTTGTTCCTTATGTTGGTATTGTAGCTCCTTATGTTGGTATTGTAGCTCCTTATGTTGGTAATGTAGTTCCCTATGTTAGTATTGTTAGTATTGTAGTTCCTTATGTTGGTATTGTAGTTCCTTATGTTAGTATTGCTGTTCCTTGTTATGGTATTGTTGTTCCTTATGTTGGTATTGTTGTTCCTTATGTTGGTATTGTTGTTCCTTATGTTGGTATTGTTGTTCCTTATGTTAGTATTGTTGTTCCTTCTGTTGGTATTGTTGTTCCTTATGTTGGTATTGTTGTTCCTTATGTTGGTATTGTAGCTCCTTATGTTGGTATTGTTGTTCCTTATGTTGGTATTGTAGTTCCTTATGTTAGTATTGTTGTTCCTTATGTTGGTATTGTTGTTCCTTATGTTGGTATTGTAGTTCCTTATGTTAGTATTGTTGTTCCTTATGTTGGTATTGTAGTTCCTTATCTTGGTATTGTTGTTCCTTATATTAGTATTGTTGTTCCTTATGTTGGTATTGTAGTTCCTTATGTTGGTATTGTAGTTCCTTGTGTTGGTATTGTTGTTCCTTATGTTGGTATTGTTGTTCCTTGTGTTGGTATTGTTGTTCCTTGTGTTGGTATTGTTGTTCCTTGTGTTGGTATTGTTGTTCCTTATGTATGTATTGTTGTTTCTGATATAGGTAATGTTGGTCCATGTGTAGGTATAGGTATATCTACGGCTGTTGTCTGATTAATTATCTTATTAGGGCCCCGTATCGGAGATACGGGTCCCCTATAGTAATCACTCTGTCTGTCTGTCTGTCTGTCTGTCTGTCTGTCTGTCTGTCTGTCTGTCTGTCTGTCTGTCTGTCTGTCTGGCTGTTTGTCTGTCTGTCTGTCTGTCTGTCTGTCCACAAATTTTGTTCCTGGCTGATAACTTTAGTATTTATTGACTGATGTACATGAAATTTGGTCAAGATGTTCAGTTCACAAAAATACACATTGAGGTAAAAAGGTACATATTTTTACTGATAAACATTTTGCTATGACGTTATGAAGCAAAGTTGATCAAGATTAAACAAGGAGTCAACTGACCAAAGGTCAAGGTCATCGGGTCAGGGGTCAAGGTCAAATTTTGTAGCTTTTCACTGGTGAACATTTCGCTATGACATTATGAAGCAAAGTTGTTCGAAATTAAACAAAGAGACACACTGAGGTTAAAAGTCGAGGTCATAATTCAAGGTCATTAGAATCAAATGTCAAGGTCAAATTTGGCATCTTTTCACTGATGAACATTTTGTTTTGACATGATGAAGCAAAGTTGATCATAATTAAACAAGGAGTCAACTGACCAAAGGTCATTGGGTCAAAGGTCAAGGTTAAATTTTGTATCTTTTCACTTGTGAACACTTCACTATGACACTTTGAAGCAATGTTGCTCAGAATTAAACAAGGAGTCAATTGACCAAAGGTCAAGGTCACTGGGTCAAAGGTGAAGGTTAAATTTTGTACTTTTTCCCTGATGAACATTTTGTTATGACATTATGAAGCAATAGTGTTCAGAACTTAACACAGAGTCAACTGACCTTAGGGCCAGGTTATGCCCTTACTGACCTGTCAGTGTTCTAGTTGGTTCTGTTTTTTTTTTTTTTTTTTTTTTTTTTTTTTTAATATTGCATTGTTACCGTTTTTTCCTACCCAACAGTTTTCCAGATGAAATTTGCTTTATGTTATTCGTTGAGTTATTGACAAGGTACATAAAATGCCTTCATGCAGGTAATCAAACACAATATTATATATCTTGCTGCCAGAGCAAACATATTTTATTGTGCTTTATATTTCAATTTGTATATTGTGTTTAATATAATATATTGCATGGTTATTTCCGGTTAATATTGAAATAACTTTGAATTTGGTTTTTTTATCTTCTATTTGGATATAATTGTAATACAGTTGGGGCAGGCCAGTTCCAGTAATTATGTAGCTCAGTCGGTTAGAGATTAAGTATAATAATTCCGGGATTCAAATCCTGGTCTAGCCCCACTGGATTTTACACTCATAACACATTTGTTGATTATTTTTTGTTTATTTCATCATTATTATTACTCTTACAAGTCCGACAAAGAAACGTTTTCTTTCATAAATGGTTTATCAAAAGTATGGTGATGTCGGAAGTGTTACAGTTTTTGGAAGTGGTACGTGGATCCTTAAGAATCCAACTAATCATCTAGTGTAGATATCTTTTTATTTGAAATGAAATATATTATCACAACGAAGACAATACCGTGATACATACAGCTTTATCCACCTAATACAGAATTAATTAGTCTGTGTGCGGTGTCCTTAGTTGTTAAGGGGAATAACTCGTATATATGACGCAATTCTAAATTTTTAGAAATCAATACAAACACGTTTATCAGAATCTTTACATCTTTATTTCGGCATTATTTCATAATAAAAATAGTTCATAACATACTAGTGGTAGGGGAATCGATTGTATACTGTTGTTACATTATCGAACTAGCTTGTAAGGTTAATGCTGACATAACGTGACGTCATAGCTCACGGAAACATTCGAACGTTCGCGGAAACAATACGAGTTGTTCAATCACAATAGACACATACATGTTCTTTACATCTACACAATTTATTTAGATTTTACGTAAGATGCTTTTTGCCTCTTGTTTAAAGGGTATATACATATCATGTATTAAGGGGAATACACTGTTAACCCCATAAAACGTACTTATATATAACTGCATTTTGATATCTTTTGTACACAATCATTTTAGTTTGGACGGACAACACTTGTGATGCGCAGCCCCATTAGCCACACTAAATAGATATAAATAACAACAAATATAAAATAAAGTTATATCAACTTATATTAATCACTCCTGTTGGCTAAGATGTTATCGCGTAGGGAAAGAACCCGGAGTACACGGAGACAACTTGCAGGGTCGGGCAGGTGTATCCATACCTTTTTATGTCCAAACCAAACTGTTATGACATCAATACAATGTTGACCAAAAGCATGCGTAGTAAAACAAATGCGTGTATAGTGTGTCTAAAACAAAGCATATGACACACGAATACATTCTTCCATAAATACTCTTACTAAAGAAAGCATTTATGTCCTAGCAATGATGGCACATATTTAAATCTTGATGACTTATTTAACCTTAAGAGTTGAATGCCCTGATTATAAATTAGTATCTAAATGACTTTGAGTGCGTATGGCAATATATGGCGTTAACCTGCTGTATTAAAAACTATACTAAAATCAGTAAAACATTGATGAATAAAGAGAAAATGAGGTACGATGTTTAACATTAAGTTATTTCACTAAAACAAAATACATTTTGTAGCATTCTTTTTCCTTCTGTTTAATGTAAATATAAGTGATTTTTATTTAAAGTGACGTTTTTACGAAAATAATATTTTGATATTCCTTTCTTGAATAATTCTGAATACATATTCCAGTGTTACCTGCGATTACTTTACTCATTTATTCACGTGAAAATATACCTGTAGGAACATCAGTTATTTCAAAATATATGGCGTTTACATGATATTCCTTGACGTTAGCTCGTGCTTTACAACATCAGAAATGTTACATGCTTTCCAATCCACTTAAACGTAACTCTGCTATAGTGTGTTTTCTTGCAAAGCATTAATACAACGTTATTTACAGATTATTCCAGTTCATAAACATGTCAAGGAAAGGTTTTACAGAAAGCGTTAAAATGAGGGGATTTCTTATTGATGAACAATTTCTTGACAACCAGATATTTACAAGAGTTGGCTGTATTTAATTGTGCTTATTTCCAGTAATAACGATATTTTGAGAACACATCATTCTTAAAAACAATCATTTGACTCAAAATGACGAGATGAAAAGATGAGAATAGAAAGCGACATAGTGTTAAGAGGTATGGACAAAATGATATAGCAAATATGCTTTATATACAGGCAAGCAAATGTATTTACAATAATCTGAATATGCCATAACACTGAAACATGCACAACATGGGACCGTTAAAATCATTGACAATTTGTTAAAGCCTAAGAATTTAAAAAATATGAATTATTCAAATATAGAAGATATTTATTCCAACGATTTCTTTGGTTGTAATCAATTTCATTTCCCTCACATATACAATTTGAGCACTTCACAGAAGAAATTGATAATTGTAGATAATTGGACACTTAATCCGATCAACTGTCAAACATTAGGCATTTCTGTACATACGTAGGATAAAATGTACCAATGCCATTGTGTGGATTTCTGGACATATATTAGCGATATTGCTGGTGAAATATTTCTCGTACTTAAACTGTGGTGTTCTATATACAGTAACCTGTTATATATCAACGGGTCAAATAGGTTTATCTCTGAATACTTCACACATTTTTACAAAGTTATAGTTACCCAGGAACCAGAATTAGGTTGACAATTTGACACCACAAACATAAAAAAGACCCGACGAGACAACAATACAAAACGCTCGACAAGTGTGGTAATCGTATCCTACGGTAATCGTATCCTACCTAACATGAGGCCTTGTACAGCGTAAGTGTAGTCCAATCTCGTTTTGTCAAAGTTTGATTTTTTTCAAGGATATTAAATATATTACATTTACACTACATTTGCCGAGGTATCAGTGTATCAATGTTTCCATCTTTGAGATACATAGATTATTTACTAATCCGAATTTCTAATAAAAAATCCAACAGTAGGGCACTCTATAAATAGCACATGGAATGTTGATATCAGTAATCACAATTGTTTCCTTGTAAAAATCTTGTATTCATTGTTCAAGTCATATTTGTACTTTCACTATTACGCTTATTTTTGATTTAAAAACCGATCAAATTACTTATACAATGTATTACCTCCCAGAAAGCATAGCAAATATATACAATATCTAACAACAAGTAGTCATCAAAATATAATCTACGTAATATAATCTACGTAATATAATCTATAAAATATAATCTACATTATGTTCAAATGCACCTCATATGAATGACTGTAATGATTCTAACGACAAAATACTATTTCATAATGTTTTAGGCAGTTAAGTACTTTTCTTCATTTCTTAAAATGATATTTTAATATGAAGATGAAAATAGTTCAATTTCATACCACCACTACCTTTAATATAATACAAAATAATACTATCAACATAAGCTTCATCACGAAATCGTTTAATTAGAAAAATCTTGGAACATTTATAACTTGCAATTTTGTTTGAAGGTTACATGTTTTATAATACTGGTCATAAGCTTTCAATATCAAGAATTTACCTACTTAAAAGACACATTCATTTTTTTGTTCTACTTGAAAATTAAGGTCAAAAGGAGGTATTCGATTCATCATAAAAGTCAAATAATCTTGAAGAACATCGAATCTGCTATCGATATGGGAACCGAAATAAAAATTATCCGAAACCATTTGCATCACGAGTTTAAAGTTAAATATATATTTACATGTACATGAATTATTAAAGTTTCGTATTTTCTCTGACTTTCAACATAAAAAATATCATTAAGATATTTGTTCTTTTCTAATCAGGTCGGGCGAACTAAGAACGAAAAAAAAGTTGTTCTATAATAACTGAATGTTGAAAAGTTAATTTGACTAGTGACTAGATCTTTCATTGCTTTTATGATATACATTTAAACATAAATTTTGTCAAAGTATGAATAACGCATATAGAAAAGACTAGATCTTGATGGGAAACGTTACCTGATCGATATTGTTAAATCTTTGGTATGAAGCACTGTAATAATTGTGTTGCATTGAATATCATATGAAAAATATTATATTACATATATGTATATGATATGTGGATGTTTTCCGCCAACTTGTATCGTAGTTTGCACTTCAATGTTGATTGTACAGCAATTGTAAAATTTCCTCTCTTAACCACATGTGCATATACATGAAAATAAACATTATATACAATGATAAAACTATTAATACTGAATGAATTCAAATGTCAAGGATTATGAGACAAATAACAGATCCAGATGATAAAAAAATGTCTGATGTTATGAAAACACTGTCAGATGAAGGGCTTTACTATGCGACAGTTTTATATGAAAATGAGTATCATTCAATCAACTTAAACTAATACTGTTTCGTATGTTCATCAAATAACTACTGTAAATTCTTCACTTTTCCTGTGTTTTTTTAAAGAAATTTGATTACAGGTAATCATTCAAACATAGGAGATATCGTTTAGTTAAAATATGAACACAATAAAATAAAGGTAGGCAAACATTTAACAACACGGGCATTACAAGGTACAAAACAAAATCTCAAAATAATATTGCCGGACTAATACAAAAGAAACTATACTAACAAACTAGATACAAGAAAATATTTGAGATCAGTTGTTTGAATTCTTTTTTCCTTTACGGGTCTTCATTTCAAAATTCCTGATGAAACATTTGGGAAATGCCTTTCATTTTACATATTTTAGATGTGGCTTGAGAAGATCGCTTAAGATATGAACTACTTGTTTTGGAAATAATCGAGGACAAATTCATTAACATATCTTTAAGTTATTTTGAATTGTTACAGTTGGATCTAAGGTTTTATCTACTAAATCAAAGAATGTTCAGATCGTGTGTGTTACTCTTCCAATAACGCCTACTCAAAGATACCACCCGGCAGAACATAGAAAGTGATATTCATCAATAAATGAAAATGTACGGTAGCGCAAATCATTCTCGTCATACTGGTAAGCTGGATTTTTCATTTGAAGGCAGAAACATGTGTTTCTCCATATCCTCCTCGTCTTCAATTTGTCTGGCAGCAATGTCCGTCCTCTTTTGAAGAGCCAGGTGCTTGAAGTATCTGTCCCTGTCTTCTTGAATACTAGGTCCCCATTCCTCTGATGGTTTCATCAGTTTTTCAAGTCGCTGAAAAAGATAACAGGTTAAATAATAAAGAGGAAACAAGAAGTCCATTGTACCCGTATATTAATCCTGGTAAACATACGTTCTACGGGTTGGAGCAGACTTCGAGGTCAACTCTGGTAGCATTATGCTTTCAATCAAATATAGTTGATATTCGTCTCTTGGTCATTGGAAAAGCGATGAGTGAAATATTTTATTTTTAACCCAAAACAAAAACAATATATTCATTAAAACCGCCTCAACAACCAGATATCTATAAAGACTACTTGTAAGTTATAGACAGGTGGTCTATTTAAGAAACATCTGCCTCTGTGTCGTTCTTGTCTTTTGTTTACCTGGCGTAATGTTCCTCTCTCCTGCATAATCTGGTAGATAATCAGTCCGGGTATTGGCAAGACAGATGAAACACCAAGACACCATCCAAATACGATTGCCCATTGCGGATAGGAACGTCCGTCGTATGTCACAGGGCCAAGGGTAATTACACTGAACAACCAGATAAACTGTCCAGAGAAATATGATATCAATCAATCAAGGTTCGAACGATTCTGAACGTTCCAGAATTTAGCGCAATTACATTGGGCAGCCAAATTAAATGTTGGTAAAATAAGAAATCTAGATAAGACATTCAAAAAGAATTTCAATTTCATTTCTTCGTTCTGAAATTATGCTTTTGAAGCTATGGAAGTTTACTTGAGGTTCAAGTGTTTTATCATTATAAATATTTTTTTTTATCTCCAGAAAATGCAAATGATATTGATGTTAGATTCATACTAACATATGTAGTATTTTCTTATAGCAAAATTAATTGAGCAAATAGAGGATATATCTTCTATTGAATTTTCCACAAAACGGGATAATTTTTTTTTTATCTCATGAGTACCTACCACAATAACAGCTGGAGTAATGTATTTCCAGAGGTAAATCCAGATTTTATGTGGCTTGAAACCAATCATAAACTCAATGTCTGCCATAAATCTGTCTATTTCTGTAGGAAGGCAAAAGAGGAGACAGAAAATATAAACCACAGTGTGAACACACAACAAAACATACCACACAGATAACACATATTACAGTATGTAACAAAACAATAAAATCACGAACCTACATGATACAAATGCTAGACCAGGTGTTCAGGAATGACAAGCGGTTCCTGCATTAAAAGTGACACCAATCATCATATAATCATACAGATATAAATGACATAATTTATAAACTACGGCAGGTAACGAAATAAATATACATCACAATAAAAACCGAATAAATATTGAAATATATCAATTGTTGCAAAAATTATGGCAGAATTTTATTTGATATAAACATGTTGATTTTATAAAAAAAAAGTGTGAAACTTAATATATAGAATACTTGCATAGTCAATTTTTTTCAGATGTTTTGACGCAGAAATCTATATAACTGCTGATGTAAAAAACGTTAACTGTTATAAAGCAACCATGCCTTAGTTATGTGGTCCCCTTAACCCTATTAAATTCCCAGAACTTTATGAATGCTTTAACGAAATACATTCTTACTCACACCGATATTATTGATAAAATATGGCCATCACAGTATACACGATGCCCTCCTTTATGTGTTGTCTCTGGTTGTGGTGAATTGGCTTTGTCATGGAAACATTTTCATTGTTAAGACTGTATTTTTGAGAATTAGACGGAAAAGATTGGAACGGTGTCATTAGATTACTGACAGAATGGCGTTTTTGTTGCTAATATGTCAAACTTACTGTAAACATAGGCAATGACGATGACCTCTGTGAGTGAAATCAACATGAGGGAGAAGCTCGCACAATACCAGTCAATGATCTGCAGGATATATATTCCACCCTGTATAAATAAAACATCGTATTTATATATTTAATAACATTAATTAGTGTGACACTAAAATACATTGGCAAGAATATTTTATAATGCAATCTGACTGACGAAGCAGAAATTAAGATGAGAAACACAAGGATGGAGTCATCAATACTATCCAAATGTTACGAAAAAACAGTCATGTGCTAATATAAAGAGATATGGTAATTACTGTAAATATTAATGACATCAAGTTTATCATCGACAATCAAACTCGTTCCAGGTTGTTTGCGGTTCACTGGTGCTATGAATATGATTGGCCAGCTCAAGTGATATCATTTGTCAGTAGATTACCAATTATTGACAGTCAGGTTAAACACAAACTATCGTAGTATATATTTAGAACTTCAATAAAAACAACGCGGTGCATGTATATTGTCAACCTTTTCCTTTTTCAAGACAAGGCAAATACTACATATAAATCATAACACTAAAGCACCTAAGGTACATCTTCTATACATATATATTACCAGGTAAATTATTTACTACAAACCTAAATGAACATTTGCTAAACAGATCATAACAGTCATGTCATGAAACCATATTTATGCTTGCAAAGTGTCATGTAATATATAACATTGGCTCCGCAGGAAGATATTTTATGAACATGTAAATAATGTATTTTATATCATTCGTATCTCATTTTCATCATCCAATTTCCTCTTTTCGTACCGTCACAGTGATTGTTACTGATCTAACTTAAAGTGAGTTCCACTATGATATTGTATTGTCCCTCGTTCGCACGGAAAGGTAAAATGAATTCATCCACAATTTACAACACATACAGCCTATCATACTGATGCGGCTTTTAAGAATTCCATAGTAAACGTAGTTAAGTTCAGCATACAAGAAAACAAATCATGTTATTTTTTTACCTGTGTTATCAAAGGCAGTCCTAGGATACATTCAATTGTACAGGCGATTGCAGAGACAAGTACTCGTCTGCTCCTCAAAGTCTTAGGGTAAGTATCAAGGAATGCTGTGATGCAGGTCTCAACCATACCGAACTAAATAGACAAAGCAAAAGCATAAGGCACACGTGCAATGACAGATTTTCAAAAAAGAGGTGAAAACCTGTGCGAATGTCAAGGATATTTGGTTAATCATATCGAAAGACAAAAGTTTCATTTATTATGAAGAATATCCCCATAACTCAAAAAATCTATTTCATGTCCATGCCTAATTTTGTTATCAGTCAATTCTTAAAAAAATCTCTTGTTTTTTTCGTTTGTTCTTACGCTACGCCAAAAAGATGTATATGTATTTCTGTGTAATTTAGTTTTCATTTGCATATATTTTAATCTTAATCTTTTTTTTTTATCATTTCTTGTTTCTCACTTTTTTTTGTAATTTTGATTCATTATCTAACCTAAAAAAAACCTGGCATTTATGATTTTAAAATTTGCTTAGAAATAAAGGGAGAATAATGGGAAAAAACAGACGTTTCACATACATCTACAATTAAATCATTAATTTTGATGATCGATGATGTGTATGGTGGATTATGTAGGGTGGTTATCAATTGGGATATTAAAGCTGATGAAAAATGTTCTCTTCTGCGTCAGCGAATACGAATGATATACAGAAAGTTAAGAAAGATTTTTTTTGCAATTGTATATATAGCATATAAATATATATATATATATATATAACGCAGATCATATAAAGAGATGCATACCTGCAGTAATAATGTTTTGCATTTTTATGACATAGTTATTGAAAATCATATGAGTCAACTGAATAAATACGTTAATCTTTTTGATGAATAACACAAAATCGTTAATGACACTTATTATCTGAAAATGTAAAAATGAATCATCTGAAATTAATTAACATGCTGTCAAGTTGAGGAACAAAAAATCTATTCTTACGAATTTCTATATATTCTGTCGCTTACATGTCATTCGTTTTCTAATACATTAAACAACACGGAAGCGATGCAACACACAGAAATCATAATGGACGTTATACCGAACATTTTCACATATGAATTTCACTAAGAATTATGGATAGAGTGCAAATCTACTGCGTATGCAAGTCTGTACACGAGTTATTTAAAAAAAATAAAAAATAAGGTATTCTCAAGTAAACATTTCGGTGACGCAGACAGATTCCATCTTTTTAGTCGTTTTCTGATTAATACTACATGCAAAGATAATTCAGAAATATTCCTCCGAATCAGGTACAATATGGTCATATTTCTGTATACATAGATATGAATATATGATTGTATGATAAAAGGTGATGTATGTGGGATAGAATGAAATAAATAGAACTGCACCTTTTCGTCGTTTTGTTCCGAAAATGTAACAATGGTAAAATGCAAATACAGAAAAAGAATTAATAACGTTCAATTCAGTGAGAACTCTAATCTTGGCAAGTAAATAATAAAAACGTACGCAGATAAGAAGAACAAAAATACACAATTATATGCCAATCTTGACATTTATATCTTTTTTTTATTGTAATTTCCTTTATTTTATTCCTGAGGTAATGGCGGCAAGTGATATAATTTTGTCTTTAGGAAATTGATTGTTTGTATTTTTTCTGATGCAGGAGTGTATATTTTGTATATTTTTTTCTTTGCATGCAAATCTTTCAGAAGTAACTTTTCCCATTCAAACATAATCCATCATGAATACATTAAACGGTTGACTTGGATGAATTCAAATTCATTGGAGGTTTAACGAGGAAAGATATTTTTCAATTTTGTAATCTGGAAAGAACGAATTTTATTTACAATTTATTATGAAAAATATAATGATACAGATTCTGCCTTTGTAGGTACAGGTGCTGTTTTTGCAAGATATGGTAAATAATTGTACTTCCAATTAATTTGATTAAAGTCAACCGGATGAAAATAGTTTCATATTTCCTACAAAAAAGAAACAATACCTTGAAATAAATTGCTTACTTCACAATATTCTCGCATACGTATATGTATCGCAATCATATTTTTTTGTGTAACTAGTAAGTGCATGTTAAACTTTGATAGAATTGAAAGGACTTTGACGTTGATATTTAACTGTTAATGTGGAAATTTACTAAAACCTATTTTAAGATTATTGCGATATAAAAACTACAAAAATAATTTAAAAAAATTGTGTGTATAACATATCTTTAACTGATACATAAACGTTCATCAGTCATTCAAATAGACAAAAAATATATATCACTGTAAGCGACTGGATTAGAAAAATATATAGGCATGTGAGTTTATCGTAGCAAAAATTATGAACGAATATATGAAAATTTAAACAGCTTTGATATGAATTTGACATTTACACTTAATTAGTTATAATTCCCATTATGTACATTACCCATATAATTTTGAAATTCTTTTTATAGAGTCACATCAAAATTGTAAAGTATCATTGGATAGAAAACCTATGAGTTGGGTGAAGCAAGCTTGGTAGGACCGATGCCAGCAGGTTGGCCCTTGCCGTCCACTGGAAGCTTGAACGTCGTAAACCTGCTTAAGGAAGTTAACAAGAAAAAAACAAAAATACACATAAGTAAGAACAGTATAATAATTTAGTTTCTCAATGTAAATCACTCAAATTTCTCCAAATATATATTTAACACACAAAAGTGGATCGAAAATTCAAAACATCTATTCCAACACAATTAAAGGAACTTAATGCGAAAAAAATGCAACGATTTCTAATTAGCTTTTAATCGCCAAGAGCACGTTTAGGATGTAGACGAACTTTTTTCCCCCTATTACACAGCTTGACCAATAAAGGTAATACTTTAACATATCTCGTTGTATTTTCTGATTTCTTAAACGGATACCTGCACTATTGCACAGAAATGTATGTGCTAAAGTAACCACATAACGGACAGAAAGGGAAATGAAACTAATTTAAAATATGTTCGTACTTTTAGTGATTATATCAGAACAGTTTCAGTGGCCACCCACTGACAGTCTAAAGTTCAAGTTCCTTAACATATGTGAAAATGCTATTTTTGATTTTGTCCCTCACGGTTAAGACATTAGAGGCTTAGTAGGGAAAATAGATATTTGTAGAAATGAAGTGATAAACATTTACCTATATGATGTATGCTGATTTTAATTTAATTAACAATTGAGCATGGCAATGCTTCGAACGGTGTGTTGCATACTGTTTTGAATATAAAAAAAATGATATAGTGATTTTTTAAGATTTGCAGACTGTAAGTGAACTAGATTGTTTACTCCACAAATTAAAAAAGTCATCATAATTGAACCTTAAAATAAAAGTGATAGCACGTTTCGTATGAAACAAACCATTCGAATACAGATTTCTTAACTAAAGAACATGCCATTCTTTTGCAGTTACGACTTATCTCCCTTTGATTAAACATTCTCTCATGATCACTCACTCTTTCGATATAGCGTTATCGATGTCAACTATTAAAAAATAATTATGATCTGTTGAATTATTTAGAAATCAACTGAAAATTGTTCGTTCATCAATTTAAATGTTTTGAATGTCTTTACATTTTTCGTTTATATCTGTGACCATTCATACACACCTCTCAAACTTGATACCTTTGTGATACATACGTATGTATACTTACTTTCGACAGGTTGTTCCTTGAGGTGATACTTAAACTAAAGAACGTCATTCATATATATTTACTATTGTAAACAAACTTTGTTGTTCGTTTAGCAGTACGAACATGCATGTTTTTGTTTCGAAATACAGTCAAATTTTTTCATCAAGACCTTGGATATCGAACGTACCTCGTTTAGGCCCAAGTCATGTTTTTTTTGTTCCGTAGCAGTTCATTACACTTAAATTCAGCTGTTAACCTCATTTATTTCGAAGTTTTTGCATGAGACCAACAACTTCGACATATCGATTTTTTTCGTTATGTAAACAGCGACTTCGATAAGACGATATTTGAATGTATGTAAACAACGACGTCGACATAACGAGGTTTGGCTGTATTTAAAAACGACGTCGACATAACGAGGTTTGGCTGTGTCTCTAGCCTGTACATCTTCAGAACAAATTACCTTTATAATCTGATGTAAACTGGTAATTTTAGTTCTAAGAAACCTGTCAGAGTCGTATCGAAATTTGTTTAACAAACAAGAACTTTTGAAATGCAACTTGAGCAATCCGAATACTCACAAAATAAGGCCTTGGCTAAATATCCTGTTTGTACAATGTAAAATACGATATTAATTGAAATAAATTTGATTAGCAAAACAAGCATTGGAAATCTGGCTAATGTGAGGGAATGCAATATTTTGCACGAGTGTTGGGGATGAAGCCATATTATGGGGTAAGTAATGGTGGATGACATGAGTATGAATACATTTCTTACTAACTAAGTCAGTAGGAGAATATTTGAGACAATAAATGTTTTTTTTTTTTTTTTTTTTTTTTTTAAAAAAAAATTTTTTTTTTTTTTTTTTTTTTTTTTTTACAAAAATAATTTCTCTTAAAGAAAATTTATTTTACGAAAAAATGTGCAGAAGATATAATTCTAACTATGACAGAGTGCAGAATGTAACCTGAGTTATTTATAGTCAAAATACGGGTCTATCTCTATTTTAAAGAGTTTAATAGTAAACATCATAACATTTGTTTCTAAGGAACAACCCTTAGACCAAGTATTAAGCCATCTTATGTATGTGTCATACACACACAGTTTCACTTAAAAAGATTAAGATATAAATTAAGTATGCATTGTCACCGTTTCCCATCAATACAAGGCTTTATGTGTCTAATGTTCTAAACGAGCAATATAAAGTAGAACATTTCTACAAAATGCTGAAATTTATTTTAGATAAATATAACAAAAATGATTGCATAATTGAATCATCGTTAGATAAAAAAAAAACATATTGATCCTCTCTTATCTTCTATAGCGATAGTATAACTATGCAATCAAATGTTATCGATGTTATCAAAAATATCGATGGTCAATGATAATGCATACAAAGTGTGTACAAACTTAAGTATAGGACTACGTCCAAACCATTATGAAACCCTACCTGACTGTCTACGCCGATAGTGAACAACATGAGGAAGAATAGCACCGCCCAGAGGGGAGAGATAGGTAGCTTAGCAACAGCTGCTGGGTACGCAACGAACGTTAAACCTGGTCCTGTAAAAGTAAAGTTTGAAAAGAAAACAATTACAACAATATCAAGGCACAATACCAACTCAGCATATATGGTAAGTCTGCGGCAAAACTAAAGATACGCCAACATAACAGAGACATCAAATTCCTCCGCTAAAATCACTTAACACCACCATAGTTTAACATTTTGATAACACTTAACCTAATATTTTCTCTCCATGAAAATACTTTACACCACAGTTTAACATTATGATAACACTTTTCACCACATTTTAATGTTATGATAACATTTAAACCACATTTTAACCTTCCGATAACACTTTACACCACATTTCATTTTGGTGTTAACACTTGACGGCATGTTCTTACCCTGACTGACTACATCCTCAATCGATGAACCAGTCTGGTGGGCCATGAACCCCAGGACGGAGAAAATTACAAAACCAGCAAAGATAGATGTTCCGCAGTTAATAATAGGTACAATCAAGGCATCCCTAAAACAGTATAAAATGATTAAATTTACACAATAACTCAGAACATTCTACAACACGTTAAATTTAAAAAAAAAACACCCCGAAAAACAGAGGATCATATCAGATATGTGAAATTCTGATCAAAGCAGACAAACTAAAATAATATTTTCTCCGTTACTCAAATTAAAATAATGAGATGAGAGAACAAGCTTATAACTGCTCCTATAGGTGTTGGTATCATCATTCGAGAAAAAAAATCTATATTATTAGCCCTTATTTCATAACTGTTTTCAAAACCAAAAATACACCAAGGATAGCAGAATTAATACAATGATAGATCAGAACTCCTTCAGTAAAATATAAAACTTTTGATGAACTGTTCTCAAAATTAAGACGAACGACTCAATTATTGACATTAACTTGGGAAAATATTGTGAAAATCCGATTCTCACTGCGTAGATAATCGTTACAAAAATATCACTTTTTATCTAAAGGAACCATAAGTTCGTATAAAATAAGAACAATCTTAAGACGATCTTATTTCACAAACATTATTGCTATATACCTATAACGTTCATTGTCATATTCACACTATGTAACTGATATTTCTGAGGTGTAAATATTTTTGATCAAGTGATATGTTTTCAATGCTTTTTAAGACGTCAGATATTGTTCTCGAGAAGATAAAGACACGAGATATGTGATAAGCGTTTTAACAACTATACCAAATCCCCCCACAAATTGAAGAATCAAACGGGAAATATGTCCACTTGACAAAATCTACTTATACATGTTTTGATCAGTGAGCAAATGTTCTAACATGTACAAACCTGTAAATATTATTACTGAATTTATTGTAACTAGCCATAGTGACAATTCCTCCCCATCCCATTCCGACAGAGTAGAAAATCTGTAAGGCAGCGTCTCCCCATACCTACAATGTAAAAAGAAAAGAAACCCAATTTATTACTATTTGTGCGCGTTTCCTATCTGATAAACACATTCAATCAAACACAAAATTGTCTTGGAAACTGATTTTCGATTCAACTACAGCCTCAACTAGTCAAGGTTAAAGAAAACCAGTGAGATAATATTACAGAGAGAACATTATGAATTCCTGTTAAAAACAGTAGCAAATATTTGTATGTAGGTGTGAAATATCTTACATATGTGTAGTTAATTTCAACACTCTATATATATATTTATATTTTTTAATGTACATATGAATCAACATATATATGCTGACTAATAAATTTAAAATTGTGGGATTTATAACTTTTGTCTATATTAACCTTCACCTGGTAATCTTCACAGACAGAGAAAAAGTGTATATCACTTCGTATAATATTAATAAATGATAAACATCTGATAATATGATGTTATATCTTTTTATATGTTTTTTGTCATCTTGACATGTTTCGAATTTCAAATTAATTAAAATATTGTTTTTTAGGTTGCATAATACCCTACACATGTTCCTATGATTTTATTAAGTAAACGTCATTTTCCTTACAAAAAAAAAAAAATCATACAGAAAAGCTACAAATTAATCAATAAATCAATAAAGCCTAGATTACGATTCTAATGATATTTTGTATATCCTTTCACAAAACTGAATTCTTTTCGAAAAGAGATAATTGTTTAAATGTGTCCCATGTCGCGAATATTAGACATATATTTCCACCTAGTGAATTGCTTCTTTCAATTTTAACACATTAAACATCATCTGTCCAAACAACAAGGGATGATTGTAAGGATGCCACATCAAACAGTCTGTAAAACCTTATATTGCGTTAACCCTACCTTACTTCGGTCACAACACATTCGTAATAAGCACGTTAAGTGCTTCCAACACAGTTTGTCGTGTGAAGTGAGTGTCGACCCCGCATATCTAACATTTTCTCTGTGTTGATGCACACGCGTTTGTATCATTCCATTCCCTCGTCAAGATTATTTAGATTAGACTGTGCTAAAAATTAACCGAGAATTCCGCCACAAACGTCAATAAAATACTGACGACTGTAGATAAATATGTTCAATTATGTAAACATAGTACGATAACGTGAATCAAATGTCAGTTTGTTTAGAACAAAAATCGTGTATGACTTTTAGGAAATGTTGATATTACCATGAAAAATCGTTTAAATTCTATAAATTCAGATAAAGAATTGGAAGATATCCCAAGGTGTAATAACCTAGCCATGAGGGTAACCCTCTGAATAATCTCATTTTATAACATTCACAAGCAGATAGTATGCATACAAATGCTTAGGTAAAAAGTAAAATACAGATGTGTGTTATAAATACGTCGGTGTGCACGTTTGTAGTGACAGAATGGTATTTCGTTTTCTTACTTATCAGCTAAACAATGTTTTGTTTATTGTACGTGGCGTCTAAGCAAAACTGGTTAGACAGAGATTGTGCATTCGTTTTACTGTTCACGTATCCTTAGAGAATGTCTGCATGATCTTGTACCGTAAAACCTCTGTACAATGCCCTTGTGTCGGTTGTCATAATACCCAATTGTGCCTGTGTTCAAAGTTTTGCCCCAATAGGTTCCCTGCAACTTCCCAGAACATTGTCAACGCCTTTAATTATGCCGTGTTCAATGTAATACCTACAGGTTTTGAACCAAACCTGTAAAAGTCTCCTCATTATATCGCGATACCATCATTTCCTAAGATTTCTTTGTTCATTTTCTTTACATTTTTTGTAAGTCTTTCTTAACATATAGTAAAGCTCTTTGATAAAGCGGCACACATAGAGACAGTACAATATATCATTAAGGCAACCACAATTAATGGATGCTTGAAGAATGAAACCCTCAGCCTACTATATCATACACTAATTTAAAGGATGTCGTGGTTGGTCATCATTATGAAAACACATATTTATATGATTTCAATTTTCAATCCAAGATCCTAGCGAAGAAACATACATATTATCACATAAGAGTCTTACCTGGAATTCTGCTAACTTTTCCCATTTAGGAAAAACGTAGAACTTAATGCCTTCCATAGCACCAGGCAGTGTCACCCCTCGGATCAGGAGAACCATCAAAACCAAATATGGGAAAGGAGCAGCAAAGTGCATCACCTGTGTTGAAAAAAACATCACCGATTCATTGAAGAGAGAAAAACTAAATCTTATAATCAAAATATTTATTTAAGGGACTTAATAAACGAAATAAACGAAACGTACTAACAGTTTTAACTCATTCAACCCTGAAGACATATTTAAACTCTTCCAATTCAATGGTTGGAATAGTTCATTATGAAATTTCAGGGGTGAATTAATTTTATTCTCCGTAATGATTTAAATAAAGTAATAACGTATTATTATTATGAACATGTTTGTATAATTTGAAATATTAAATTCGCGGTCGGCTCTTATCGCTATAAATTACAAAATATGGCCAGGTAACGGCATGCATAGCGCATTCGGCAATCACAAAGATGGACATGGTTCGGTTTCTCGATCGCACGTGCAATGGTAGTTTTCACAACAATGAGACCTCCTGTACGCTTCCGTCAGGGCAAGAAGAATGATTCATGAAGTGGTCGTAAATTGATATATATTGCCTTGCAGGTTGACGTGAAGCGGAAACGTCAAAATGGCAGACACTAGTCCCCCATCTTCAACCCCCTCAAACACTGGAGACGAAGTCAGTTGATGCAGAATGTACCGTCTCGAATGATTTTATTGCTTTTCTTATATAAATAAAACCTTATGATGAGGTCAAGTAAAGGAATTTCTTAACATATAACGATCCCGATTAGAACAGAACTACCAATGAGCTGCCACGAGTCAAGGACGTACCAACAATCGTGTTGGATTTCACATGTTATAAACAAGGCACTTAAGGTCGAGGTCGACTGGATATAACCCTCTCACTTACAGGTCAATAGCGTGGTCTTTAGCACCTAGATTTCCACGCTTATCAGTATTTACAATGGAAATCATCAGCCGGACATTATTATGCTCATTTGCTAAATATTTATGAATCATAAAACAAGACTTAGGTATTGAATAATTGCTTATGACACCAATGTCCCACATTAACGTATCGAAACGGTCATTTTAACGGTAATATGTGACTATGTATCTGCTGGCTTGTGCAAGCGAATGCAATTTAATTTCCAATTTATCAATCTAACGGAGATTAGAATGCATCAATAAGCACTTGGTTAATGAGTGCTGATTTTTAAAACTAGACGACCTGCTTTGTGTGTCAGAAAGCTGCTGGTAGTCATAACTGCGCGGTGAATCATAATAGATTTGCAATGCGACACATGGGGACTTAGTCTACAGATGTTACACCAGTTAAACTGGAATCCGAATATCGATCACAAGGAGTTAATCTGGCGCACACATGGCGGTCAATATACACACTGCAGACATTTGAAGAAAAGTAAACAGTGTTTTAGAACACCAAAGAAAACATTCAGTTGACATGGTAACCAAGATTTTACAAATTCTGATATAACATAATCTGTTGATGAGATAAAATCGCTTGGAGGATTTTCACAACTTTAACACTAAAACAAGCTGAATAAACAAAAACGGTACAACAGCAATAACATCTTTTTTATTTTGTATATATTTTTGATATTATGTGCTAACGTATGCTATAACTACTAAATGTCCTTCAGATATTGTTTCAACAACGCTGTTACGTCACATTTTAAATATATACAAAATGTGTTACTAACCTTGCCCAATACTTTAACGCCTTTGAAAAGGCACAGGAATACGAAGAACCAAGCTAATATGAGACAAAGCAGTAGAGGCCATCTGATGATACCAGCGTCTTCAATCCCTTCAGAGAGTTCAAGCACGTGGTTTCTGGTAGTGTTAAATTTAAGTAAATTAGAAATTGCTTATTGACTAGAAATCAGTTTTTTTTCTTAAAATAACTCGTAACTTTACATGTAACGTAAAATGTTTCCGCATGTTGACAAATGCTCGCCTGTTGTTTGCGATGCAAAAATGTTCAAGACGGCAAAGCCACTACAATAGTTTTATATATGTTCGTGAGCGAATTTGTTCGCGCTGATCGATATAATGATTTTCAGTACATACGTTCAGACGGCATTCATCATCTTTGTCAGAATACAGACAAATGGAAAACGTTTCACCTTTCATATTGATGCTGTTAAAGTATCATTCCGTTAAAGGTTAAAAACATATCTTAGAGAAGCACACACATAAAAATAACATCAACCAACTCAATGTATGAAAATAATTCATTTCAGACAACGCTAAAAATGAGAATTTGTTGAATTGTTCGTTATTGGAACTAACCTGAAATTGTAAGTCATTGCAGCAAAGCATAAAATATAAACTGGCTAAAAAATTATCAGGAACGCATGTATCTAGTAAATATTATCATTAATATCGATCATACTAGGTAGCAGACGGAATTGTATGCAAGGCACGTTTTTTCTATAAATCTGATGAACGGATTATTATAGATTAAGTTTAAATGCTTCGAAAATAATAACTACGTTTAACAGCTATTTTCAATGACTGTGAAATAATTTAATGCTTACTCCCAATATTCTTCGCTTGGACTTCTCTTGGCACCTTCGTGTATGATTGAGCCATTTGCACTGAGGATATGACCGGTGATGTTGGACATGGTGTTACTGACGTTGTATGTCGTATAATTGCCCAGTGTGTTATTCATCACTCTCCTTTCCGACCCGTCCACACAGTTTTCTGTGTTCCAGACGTTACCACAGTTACTCCATGGCAACACAGCCCGGAAGGACATGAAGAGGTAGTAGAGCGTCCAGGCGACAATGACATTGTAATAAACGCAAACTAAACCGGAAACAATCACCATCCCGACACCAACACCTACAAACATACAGATAGGTATCGGCACGCTATCATGTTGTAGCAGAATTCTAACATAGTAAAAGTATGAATACTAATAAAGTATTCCTACTCTTCTTATATCTTACAGATACTCCGACTTACAACAATTCGATTTGTTTTGTTATTCGAGAAAATGGAATACAGAAAAGGAAACCGCAATCTAACTTGACATTTGGTAAGATAATTGCTTCAATAGGTTTGCGTTTAACTATCCAAGACAACAATAAAAGATCTGTGTCACTTTGTAGTTCTCGAGAATTGACGAAATTCTAAGTCTTACCATGATTTCCTTTCTATGTTTGTTAGCACGCTAATTTTGTTTCACAATTTTGTCTTTGGTAGATATTTGCAAATTTTCCAATGAGCTATGTCATTATCACTATTGAATCATCGATAAATGTTCATATCAAGAAAACGGCTGTTTATGCAGGTTAAAGGAAAACATGTACCTACCTTTGAAAAGAGGACTCATCCGCCACGTAGTGATGGGACTGAGACTGCTGAACTGGCCATAACTTGCTTCCATGAAGAACAGCGGGTAGCCGCATAACAGCAGGAAGATGAAATAGGGAATGAAGAATGCACCTGAAATTAAAGGAAAATAAGAAAACAGTTACACAGTTGATATGCAAATGATATTACGAAAAGAACTAGAACAAATACCAGAGCTACTTTAGCTAACATAAAAGATATAATAATAAAATATTGTCATGCGATAAAATCACGCCACAATACAAACTACTGTCTGAATAAGAGACGGTTTACATATGCATTTAGTATTCCTTATCCTGAAAGCTTTAAAGGACAGAAAAATAATATCTCTAATAAACTTTGCTTTAACCAAGATGTGTATGGAACGTTGTAAGGGGACTATTTTAATTTTTGTTGTTATTCATAAAACATTCACACTTACAACTTGAAATTATTTTCAATCAATGTTTTTTAATATTTGCCAATTTTCATACATTAATGCATACACTTATGTTTTTACAACAGTTTTAAGTAATATTTTTTGTGTGATTATAAACTTGTAATGGGACAGATTTTATATGATTTGATTTAAGAAACAGATGATCGCTTTTACAACAATTGGGTCACATTCTAATACAGATCAACTGATAATTACATTTTCGTTTTGTTTACAAGCCCCGGAACGTCAATCGTTCATTAATCCCGACGAAGGTTTCAGTGTAACCGAGTAGAGATGTAATTTTCCTTCAGTTTTGCATTACATCCGATCTAATTTACAAAAGCGCTTGCACAAGGTTTGCAATAAATTGTTGTTATCTCAAATGCCCCTTCGATGTTTAGCACACTGAATGTGCGTGATACCTTACTATGCATTCATCGCAGGTTTAACGACCTGGTAGCAATCGTTAAAAGCCGATCAGGTTTTGCTCAAACTCTGATTCACATGCCAACATAAAAAAACGAACCAAGCCTAGGGATAAAATGGCGGATTACATTCCAAAAAAGATTTGTACACGTGTTCAACTCTAGCAAAGTGTCTCGCTGTGCTTCCTAAAACTCGAGTACGTTACTTTGTGTTCAGACTTTTGTTATGCATGTCAGTTCATATTAGCTGGTTGCGAAACGTTCGTTTACTATGTACTAAAAGCAAATTGTTTGGTGTTACAGTCCGGTGTTCTCGCCAAGGCACGTACAATGTACTACATCATGGCTTCTTACCTCCTCCACTCTTATAACAGAGGTAGGGAAACCTCCATATGTTGCCCAGGCCTACAGCATAGCCTATGCAAGTGAGAATGAAATCCATCCGACCCTTCCATCCTCCTCTGTCATCTTTATCCGTATGGTTATTCTCCCCCTTTTTAATAATGTCAATACTGTTTTCTCCGGAACTATTGGATTCGGAACTCATTTTCTGAAACACCAATAATGTAAAATTGAAACAAATATTAGGTATTAATTTAAACCATCAACCTACAAAAATTAATTTATTAATGAATAGATTAATACACAAATAAATTAATGCAATAACGAATTCATCAAATAATGAATGTATGAATGAATACAAATACAGAAATAATAAATGTATAAATGAATGAAACAATGCATAAATGAATAAATATACGCATTAATAATGAATTAATGATTTTTAAAAATTATTGAAGTAATGCAGAAATAAATGAATTACTACAATAATAAATGAATACATTTTATAAAAAAAACCCAGGTGGAATACAACTACAGCAACTATGAAGAGGCTTATATAAAAGTACATATCATGTAATATCATAACGACCATTACCAATCTCAAGTATTCTAGACGGATACGCGTGCCTTAAACCATGTGTGGCATATGTCATAAGAAATATTTGATTATTCTTATTTTCCAAAGTGCTTACAATTTGTCTCATGCTGATAACAGTGAGAGATAAGCCTGTTTAAAGCATTGTTAGATTACACATGTCTTAAATCTGAATTTTCGAATTATATTCTTGGCAAGCCGTTTTGGTATTTACAAATGTCTTTCTTTGAATTCTACTTGCTAGTCACTACTCACACAAGCATCTTAAAATAACACATTTTAATGGTTAGTATTTTGAACAAAATGTGTTAAAATTTATTTCAAGCTCACCAGGAATTTAGAAATAATGTTACTTAATTGCACAGTAACAAAGACATTCGATATCAAACTGCAATATGTATATTGAAGATTCTAATGCAGTTTTCAAGAATGACACTCTCGGTTCAGAAAACAATTCTCACTTATTTAATCCACCGAATTTATTGCTTATGTCCACAACTTTTATAACTATTTTTTGAATATAAGGTAAAGCGATTTAACTGTTATATTTTGCAGGGAATTTTAAAACTAACATTGAATAATATCTAATATTTATAGATTTCACTTGGTCTTGGTAACAATAGAATTCAGTGTTGCTATGCGTAGACACTGACGACCCTTGCCATGACTAAGAGCTGACAGATATTGATTTCCCACGAGATGATTAGTGGATATATAATTACACCGGACAAAGTTACAAATTATAGTAAACTGCCAATGCTGATATATGCTGGCATGGCACATGCTTATTATTCATGAAGATTAGGTATCATCTTCTCTGTGTGATATCGCATGACGACATTTGTTTTTTTCCTTATACGTTGGTTTTACGCCGAGTCAGTAAACAAGGCTTGAGTTATTTTATCGATCAGATTGGTCCGTTATTTACAGTATCGAACAAAGCACCACTCCTTATCCCTTTCGACAAGACGCAGCGATAATAACATGGTATCCTAGTTTACCCAGGTTATCATAAATCAGTGTTTGACCACATCCAAGCAGTGTGTACTCAAAAACACAGTCTCTAGACCGAACAAACATCAGACGAGCTCAGTACTTTACTAATACACAACATTTTCCCAAAGTAACGACAAAATGGTGAACATCTTCCCTATTCTATTAACATTTGTTAATTTATGTAGAAGTAGGTTGTTGTTGTTAAAACAAGACTAAGCTCATAATGTCGTGATATGAAAGCAAATCAACTCGATATCAGAAGTTATGATCTGTGGACATATCATAACATATTGTAACAGCATAATAATTGAACATAACTAATGACGAACAAATAAGAATTACAAAAACTGTGCAAAAGAAACAACGATCGCTAAACCAATAAAAGAAAACAGTTTGATATAGAAAGACTAAACACAAGTTTTTCATATTGAGGTAGTACATAACTCGACACAAAGTATAAGTACTGGAACAGACAATTTCACAACTTTTTGAACAACTATTGAATGATATTGAACGACGGCAACTATGCCTATATTGTGTATATCGGAAATGTTTTAAAATGCACAGATAATATCAAACATATACGACTAATATCGAACGATTTTTTTTTATATAAAAAACAGATCAAATGGAAACAAGATCGATATCCTTTTTATCATATACGCAACGAAAACGTGTTCAAACACATTTTTTTAAAAACTAATATTTAGAGAGGGAAATTCAAACAGAAATTAATTACATTGCCATATGCGTTATTTAATGATACACTGATAAATAAGTCGGTACATGGTACATTAAATCTTCTCAAGGTTTTGACTAAAGTTTAACTTTATAACATAAGAAATAATATACAGTGAAATTGCCTGCTACCTCAAATTTTTATTATTTTTGAGTACCTTTTCGTTAAATAACTGTTGAAAGTTCTTTTCATTTATAATGCTGAGTAGTACAAATCACAAGAAATCAATTTGTTGTGGCCTTATATCAATTTTGTGCTTCCTATTAAGCCGAGCGTTTGCGCTGAATTCACCGTCACGTATGTGAAGGCCAAATACACAGTCACGTTATATCAGGACCGCGATATCCAGGGACAATAAGCACGGTTTACAAAGTATTATCAACTTAACGATAGGTTAGCGGGTTTTCTATAACAACATTTCAGAACTTTATTTTTAGTTTTGATCTATGATACGTTTGAGCAATTCTTAACAGATGTTGGTACGGGCATTTAACATATTACATTGTAGTATGAGTGCACCTGGAATTTAAAATATATTATTTTATTTAATAATGAAAAGATTAGAAACAGGTCAAATTGATTCGAAATTGATTCGAATTCATTTTTTTAAAAGGAAGGTGTTTAATTGTTGCACTTTCCTATTTGAACCCTAACTCGCTTTGTATTCAACATGCTATTTCTGGTGTCAAACAAATTTTGAAAGGAAGAAATTCAAATAGATTTGCGGTTGCATTTCAACATGTTGTTCGGTAGAATGAGAACTAGTGATATGAACGTTAACTGATATAAATATCTCCTATTTTAAAGAACTTTATTTATTTTAATAAATTTCGCGTTATACTTAAACCCGCGATTTACCTTGTTCCCAAATTAACACACACACACACTTTATGTGACACTTACCTGGTTAAAAGTATTCACACAAACCACAAGCGACTGAAGACAGAAATAGTTCCCGTATTTGTTTTCGGCGTCAGTGTTTTCACACAAAGGCTATTGTCCTCGACCTACATAAATCTTCGAACATGTGTACCCCCACCCCCTGACTTTGCGTTAACAAGCATTATTGTTGTCATCGTGAGTTGGATCAAGATGAACAAAATGTAACTTTGATTGTGAAACCGTTCATATTGCGTTTCGAGAAATTATCATTGCACACGAATTAAGTACGTCTCTACACACGGCTTTTGCTGTATTCATATGACATTGCGGTGTTTATTTCGTAAAGATTCATTTGAAAACAGCAAATAAAACATTTGTTTACAAAACTGTTTTTTTCAATTCATGTCACAATCCGTCACGCCAAAATATAAAAGGATGGATACACGCTTTCTATGGATATTTTAACAAGCACAGTCTCTACAATCATTGGTATCAATGGAAGTTTAACATTGGTAAGACATTGTTAAAAACAATAAATGTTTTGCTTTTCCATGATTGTAAAACACACATTTCCCATAAATAATGATGCATTGATGATTTAGTTTTGTTTTCCTTCATCTTGATATAAATAATTATATAATTAAAAATATGTATATGTATCAGCTGTTGGTGATAGGGGCCGATGTACCAGGAATATATTTATAAAACTGTTATCGTGCTTAACCATCAACCAGGGGTTCTGTGCTCAAATAAACTTTCTTGTAACACATTTCTCCAGTACCACGACCGACCATATTTTGTTTACCTCCGACCCTACATTTTTTTTTATCTCGCTCGCACGCACTTTATCCAGTGTTTGAATAACTTGCCGACCGGATGCAAACAAATTTAAGGACAAGCAAACAAGGACACACTATATAAACCCTCTCTTCGTCATAGGCAGGTACCAAAACTAAATTTATAAATCTCCTATTAATATTTAAAATACCTAAAATGGGGTGATGATTTTTGTAATTTCTTAAATTAGTGCTAAACCGTCAATTTCTATTTTTTAAATAGTTTTGTTTTAATGCATATCAGACAATAACAGTATCTATATTTTTTTTTTGATTACCTGATATTTAGAAACAAACATTTCTTTAAATTGATTAGTTAACAGATCAACGAAAAAAAGAACAGTAACTATTGAACTAAAGAACTAGAGTACGAGAAGTTACAAATAACGTTTTAAGTGGTAAACATTTTTGGTAGGGTTTCATTGTTGTCATGGAAACACGTGATCGTATTACGAAAACCAACACGTAAAAAAATGCAGTCATATCAATAACGTTTAAATGTCTAGTAGTTTTTACCCTCTCCTTCGTCAGCCTACTGACAGAGACATAAGGGCATCATTTTAAACTGATTTTCACAAAAAATAAATCCAATTCCGCTATTATTTTTTAGTAGTGTGTGTTTATTTCAAGACCAATTTATATGTTACGTTATGTTGTTTTTGTAATACTTCTGAAAATATCAATGCGTCAAATTTTACCTGGACGTACTATGAAGCTAATGAGGCTCGACGCGCAGGGTTTAATCTTTTTAAACATCAGACAAAGCTGCAAGTTTATATAAAGACGGGAAGTAATAAATTAGAGATAGAGATATCGAACGACACAAGCAATGTTTAAATCCATACAAGTACGCTGAATCCACACCAGTGGTAACTATGTCATGTATTGTAATCCCATTTAATTAATTGTTCCATTCATACCGAAGTATAAATTACGTTGGATTTACAGATAACTGGTGTTTACAGTTCAGAGTGCATAAGCGTGGTCAGAAAAATAAAATAACACATTCATGTAAGTACCTGTCAATAATCGTTCTCTAGTATAAAATATCAATGTAGTGGATCTTTATGACATCTACGTCTTTATTAATTGGAATTAAAAGATACTTTTTAATTATCCTTTCCATTCTTAATGCATTTAAATCAAGTGATTGTTACTGA